GACTGCTAGGGCACGGGCGGCACTCGCAGCGGACCAACCCGCGACTGCGGTCATTGTCAGGGCCGCACACGACGCGCAGCATTGTAGGTCCATCCATCTGCGCGACCATCTCCAGCCAAGACCACGGCACTTTGACAGTGTGGTCCCAGTCCCAATCCCTGTTGTCCTGCGCCTTCCCCTTTGCGCGGTACTTAAGGATCTTCGAAATTTCCTCCGCAACTGCGGTACCTCCGAAGACGGGCGTGCGGCTGCCGAAAGGGTTTTCTCGGTCTTCGTACTCGTCTCGGAACCACTTCAAGGCCGCGTTGTGCTGCTTATAATTGCCGTTCCAGTTCGCCCTGAAGTTCTCGAAGAATTCCAACTTGAAAATTGGCAGCGGCTCATTGCGCACAATTTGAAACAGCGCAACTGCGCCTTGTTCTTCGCGCCCTGGGGGAAGCAGGGGACCGCCTCCTTTGCCCGCCGCTGTTGCGGCCGCGGGCTCCGCGGCAGGAGAACCTGCCGAGGCACTCGAGCGGCCACCTTCCCATGCATTCCACCAGCCACCCTCGTCGTCCCACCAGCGGGCGCCCTCCATTCCCCAACCCTCGCATCCGTTGCCGCCCCATCCGCCGCCCTCCCATCCGCGACTGCGGTCACTTCCGTCGCCGCCATCCTGCGCTTTTCCTCTCCATCCGCCAAGAGAATCTCCGCCGCCCCAGCCGCCACTGCGGTCACCTCCGCCGCCGTATCCGCCACTGCGGCCGCCCCAACCCCCACTTGTTCCCCAACCGCCGCCGCTGCTCTTTGAAGAATCCGCAACTGCGGCCCGTGTTTCCTCTTCCGCTTTGTCATCCCACCCTGCACGCATCTCTGCCCCGACTGCAGGCCGCGGAGGCGGGCGCGAGCCCGCCCAACCGCCGTGAAACCTACCGTCGGCGCGGGCTTGAGCCGAACGTGCATGGAGGAGGAGGATGAGGAGGAGGAGGGTGAATGTGAGGAGGATGATGCGTTCCTGGGAGGTGTGCCTTCGCGTGCAACACAAGAGCCCTGAGAATTCCTGAGGCCCCTCCAACAGCCAAGGACGCGGATGACAAGAAAGTCGAGAAGATTGGGAACCGATTGAGGATTAAGAGGCGTGCGACGAAAGGGATGATGATGACGAAGAGGAAGATCAGTGAAGGGGAGGAGCGGACAGGAATTATGGAGGAGTGATAGCAGAGGAGGAAGAGGGGGAAGGGGGAGGAGGAGGAGGAGGAGGAGGAGGGAGAGGAAAAGGGGGAGGAGGAGGAGGAGGAAGAAGGGAGGAGGAGGAGGAGGAGGAGGAGGAGGAGGAGGAGGAAGAGGAGGAGGAGGAGGAGGAGGAGGAGGAAGAGGAGGAGGACGACGACGACGAGGAGGAGGAGGAGGAGGAGAGGGAGAAGGAGAACGGGGACAGGAGGACAAGGACGGAGAAATATAACAAATGAGGGGGAGGAGGCGGAGGAGGAGGAGGACGAGGAGGAGAAGCAGGAAGAGGAGGAGGAGAGGGGGGAGGAAGAGTGCGCGTGAGACTGGGAGAACGAGGTAATTAATTAGAGAGGGAACGGGGGAGGAGGGAGGACAAGGAAGAGCATACAGCGACGAGAAGAGGAGAAGGAACAGACGAAGGCTCCTGCTGATCGCATTTCCGCATCGTTCAAAGCAGTGCCGGGGCACTGCTTTGAACGACTGGTGATGTTCAAAGCAGTTCCCCAGCACTGTGTTCCATCGTCGCCGTTATAAGGGCTATCGGATTACCCAGTGGCGCTGACGGCGAACCGAATCACTCACGCTGAAAAGCATAACATTGTCATGATTTTGCGTCCAGGGGCAGGGAGGGTCCGCTTCCGGGCCCCTGGACGAACAGGTATCTGCTCAGGATGGAAAACGGGCCCCAGAGGGTCGAGGAGGAACAGGAGGGTGGGGAAGGGCCGAGGGCCAAGGTCGGCGACGCGAAAATAATAGATCGGAGGTCTGAAATCGGACCCTGCAGGACCCCCCCCCGGAGGGTAGCAAGGTGGCAAGAAGCTACCCAGATATCTGACTTCGCTATTGTTAGTCGTAGTTTAGATTCCTTCCTGGGGACTGGCTTCTCCCCGGGGGCCCAGCATAGTCCCACGGGGAAAAAGAAGGATGGCCGACCCCCTCACAGCCCGTTGAAATCTTTTCGCGACGCGAGGAAATCTGGCTTTCGGGCCATCACTCGGACCTTTGGCGGCTGCTCGGGACGATCCCGGCAACCCCGGGACGCTCTTGGGGAGGCACAGCTGCAAGAGAGCGCCTTGAGGCTGGAAGGTCTCCTCGAGGAAGACGTCCGAAGGTGAGGACGCCCCGCCGTGCTCTTCTCCACGACGCGAGGAAGTGACTGTTGGGGCCCCCCGAGGTTGCAGGCGGCCCCGAGACACTGGATGGGCCCTGAGGAAATCGGTCAAGAAGGGAGGATGAATACGAATCCGCTCAAAATCGGTCCTCAGCCCTCTCCCAGGGTGAATCTGGCGCAGACTTCCACCCCGGGTTCGTTATTGACTGTCCTGTTGCCCGAAGACGGCCCCCGCAGGCCGAAAAGGGTAAAAAGCCCTCCCGAACACAGAACCTCGAACCTCGCCCCCCCGTTCCCCCTTGCTGCTGGTCGGAACCAGTGCTGGGCCACCTCAGACCTCCAGCTGGCTCCAACCGACGGATCGCGCCTCATCGCCAGTGCATCGCCGATGCGTCGGCGATGCATCGGCGTGGAGAAACTCTGGCTCCACATCGAGCCGCATCGTCGATGCATCGTCGATGCGGAGCGATCCTTCGACCCCACCTAATCGAATCCCATCTGCCGGGGGGACGTGAAGGTGGGGTAGGAGCAGAAGTTGGGTTGGGAGGAAAATCGCTCCATCGCCCCCTAACCCCACCTTGGGCGAACCCCTCCCTCCCCCTCACGAACCCCCGCCTCTGGGGAGCTGGCGCCACCCCAGGCCCTCCGGAGGACGCCGCTGGGCCACGGCTCTTCCAGAAGAAGAAAAGACGCCATACACAGAAACTGTTGGCGCTCCGTGCGGATTTCTTGCATCTGCGCTGGGCCCCGTTCCCTGGCGCGCGGAGCGCGCCAAGGGGCGGCGCCGGAGGCGCCGCCGGGGAGGCCCTCGCGGATCCAAAAACTCCGCGCGGAGCGCCAAAAGGTTATGTTTATGGCGTCCTTTCTTCTTCGATCTCCGCCTCTCCCTGCCGCGGTCCACGCCGCGGTCCCGGGAGCGCGACCTCGAGCGGGGCCGCCCGGCGGCTCTCGCCGCGGAGTCCCCCCGCCCGTCGGCCTCCCGCTTCTCCCGGCGGCGCGCTCGAGGGGGGGGGGGGGGGCACGGCGCAAGAGCCCGGCTTCTGGCGTGGGCGGCGAGCGATGGGGGGACTCCGAGGTTCGCACTTCTGAAAGGGGCCCAAGGACACACAAACAAATACACACAAATAAAAGGATTCCCCCCTATTTTCCAATATTTTTGGGGTGGTCGTCTTCCCCCCCACTTCCCATATTTGCCTATATTTTCTGAGGGATCGACGATTAATTGTGTCTGTGTGTTTTCCCCTCCTGAGATTTGAGGTTCGAGCTTTTCGGGCGTTTTCGCCGGTTCTCGGCGGTCGTCCCCGCCCTCGGGATGCATGCCAACAGCTGCGCCTCGCTGCGGGCATTCGGGGGGGGCCCGGCTCGTCCCGAACGGCCGCCGGAGACCCGAGCTATAACCCCCACTACATATTCGGCGGCGATCGAGGGGGGGATGCGAGAAGGAGAAGGCCTTCTCAGAAGGCGGCTGGGCTTCTCAGCAACGCCCGCGCCTTGTGAGAAACATCCCGCGACTTCGGGACATGCTTGGAGAACTTCTCAGAAGGCCAGGGGACTTCCGAGCCTTTTGAGAAGGCCCGCCCATTCGCACTTCCCCTCCCTCGCTCGCCGCCGATGGCAGGGATCGACCTCAAACGTGTGTTTCTTTTTCGTCATGCTGTCGTTTCCCCTCGTGTTGTCTTCATTATCTGCCTTTGCTGCAAAACGAAGTCGAAAAGAAAACCGCCCACGAAATCGTCAAAACACCGTTTAGGTCGACCCCTGTTTTTTATGGAGCCCGCCAAGGACGCACGCGACCAACCACGTATATGAGCACGCCCCTTCCCAGTCCGCGAGACGGGCCTCGTGATACGAACGCTCGCGCAGTGATCACTTTCGAAACCCACGTGAATTCATGTACCTGTATGTCCTTCTTTCGCTCCTGATTCTTCATTTTTCGCGATAAGGCACGTGACCGGCCCCGACCCCCCCTCTGGTCACGTCACGATTCGCGATGGCGCCGTCTGGGAATCGGCCCTTCCTAGCAGCACTTCTGGACGGCGCCGGCGCACATCCTGACGTGACCGGCCCCTCCCCCAACTCCCCTGGGGCACGCCCGTCGTCGCCAGGGGGATTACAATAGCCGGCTCCAAAGGGGAAGGGGGGTGGGCGGCCTTCCCGAGGAGGCGAGGGGGCCTCCCAGAATAGAAGAATACAAAAACATGTAAACATGAACTTTTGGCGCTCCGCGCCGATTTCTTGGATTCGCGCTGGACCCCCCTCCCTGGCGCGCGGAGCGCGCCAGGGGCGGCAGTGGACGCGCCGCCGGGGGGCCCAGGCGCGGATCCAAGAAATCCGCGCGGAGCGCCGACCATTATGTTTTTTAGAAGGAAGAGAACTATGCACATACACCGTTTATGGCCAGGCCCATCCTGAACCCAGGATCGGTGCATACGCCCTCCTACCTTGGCTAGGAAGGTATATGCACCGATCCTGGGTCAAGGATGGGCCTTGCCAGGATCCGAGCATGTGCATAGTTCCGTTCGCCCGATTTATACGGTTTTTCCTTCTTCGACACGCCTTCCGAGCAGCCTGCAGCCCCCCCTCTGTCGGGAGGCCCTCCCGCCCTCTCAGGGGCCCCCTTCCCCCCCCTGCCCGCGGCACCGCCCTCCCGTGTGCGCGCCGCCGATTGTCCCCTGGAGGCCTCTTCTTCGCTCTCAGCTCCTCCACCTTCTCGCGTATCCGCAGGTAGCCCCTGCTGAGCATCGCTCGACCGATCCACAACTGGCGTGGCCCCCTGCCCAACTGGCCGACTTACCCCCCTAGGGGGGGATACATGGTGTTCCCTTCTGGCTGGTGAACTGCGATGCCATGGTTCGTGGGAGTAGAAATCGATTGGGAGACAATCGTTTATACTTTTCATGGTGACGCCCGTGAATGGCGACCCCCCCCATGGTCACGTCGCGACTCGCGCAGGTGCCGTCTAGGAATCAGCCGTTCCTGAGCATTCCCAGACGGCGTCGGCGCGCATCGTCACGTGACTGGCCCCATCCCCCTCCCCCCCCTGGTCACGCCCGTTGTAGTCAGGAGACAAACGCATGTCTCTGGAGGTCGGTTGGAAGATGCTGGCCTGTGCAGCTTGCCCTGCAGGTGCGCCTCGTAGTCCACGGGCTCGTCTGGCTGGCAGCGAATGCCGCACACCTCGCAGACGGTCTCGCCCGCCGTCTGAAATGTGAACCTGGCCTTCATGCCACGGGCGCTCGTTAACGCGGGGGGGACCAGACGTCTCGGCCGCAAACATGTGGGAGCCACACGTCTCGGCTCGGCCTTCATGTCTCGGGCATTCGCTGACGGGGTGGAACTAGACTAGCCAGCGCGTGGACGTTTAGAAACCACGAAGGGGTCCTTCAGGTCCAAGTGCCTGCAACCGCCGATCCCCCTGCCCCCCCCCGCCACCGAGCGCCCAAATGTCGACGATGTCCTGCTTAACCCGGTCCGAGTCCGCCAGTGCGCGCTTACTTCCCTCTACGTCGCCCTTCTCGGCGAGCTCCTCTGCCCTCTTCACGCACTCCTCTCGGGGGCCTGGTCTTCCACCGCCGCTGCCGAACCTGCTAGACACGGGGCCCCTTCAGACCTCGAGGACGTCGTCGAGGTCTGTGAGGCCAACCGTATCACACCTGTGGCAACCAGGCCAAACCTATCACACCCCTGGCAACGGTGACGGAGAATCGAACCCCGATCCTCCGCATCCTTCTTCAGCTGGTCCATATTGAACTTCAGGTGAATGGGGATGCGCGTCTCCATGCCCGCGGGCCTGCAATTTTTCTTTTCTCTGGCGATCCACGCGTCCGCCTCTTGGCGGCGCGCACGCGGGGGTGGCGCGATGGGGTGGCCTTCGAAGAAGGCAGGGGGCGTAAGAAAGGAAGGATTCTCGTAGAAGCCCCCGTGCGTCTAAAGGAACCATTATAGAAGCACCCGAGTCCTTCTGAGAAGGCCCCAGCACTCCAAGAGTCTCCTCGCCTTCTTAGAATGCCGCCTCCCTCGCGCCACCCCCCCTGCCCGCGCCGCCAAGCCTCGCTCACAAGGTTTTCCAGATGCGACAGGAACTCCTTCTCGTACTCCCTCTGGTACCTATCCCTCTCGCTGTGCGCCTCGAACTGCCTCTTGAGCGCCTCCGAGTGCACCTTGTAGCACAATCCTGGAGGAGCAAAGATACCGATCTGGCGGCGCGCACGATGGGGGTAGCGCGAGGTGGCGGCCTTCAGAGAAGGCGGGGGGGGCTTTTAAGAAAAGAGGCGGCTTCTTAAAGGCCCTCCCGGCATCCAATTTGCCTTCCTAGGAGCCTCTGGGACTCTCTAAGAAGACCCCTGCCAAGAAACCTTTTCTAAACCCGTCCCCCTCGTGCCAACCCATTGTGCGCGTCGCCAACCGATACCGATACTCCCCAGACCTCTCCTGGAGAGCGTTCTGGCCAAGGTTCCGGAGCGAATCCAACCGTGGCAACGAGGGAAGGGCAGCGGCATCGGCATCGTTCCCCCCTCTGCATTCCTTGGTCTCTGCCCCTGCTCTTAAACTTGAACCAGTTGTCGTTGGCGTCGTTAGGGCAGAAGCCGACGAGATACCTCTTGCACACACTCTTATCCTGTGGACCCAAACATCTAATGGCTCGATTTGTTCAACAGATCCTTTCTCCAGGGCCAATGGTTCATCCTGAATCGTTTGTCGACACCCCCCCCGGCGAGGGCTCCCACAGGCCAGAAACGGCGACAAGCCTCCTCCTACAGCTTCCAGACGCAAGGATGTCAAGTTGTCGGGGTCGTGATATCAACTCCTCAAGAAGCCGTTCGGGACGATTCTAGGGGAACGAAAAATGATTCAAACACGAAAACTCAGAGGTCCGCGCGGATTTCTCGGATCCGCGCTGGATCCCCCTCCCTGGCGCGCGGAGCGCGCCAGGGGCGGCGCCGAAGGCCCCGCCAGGGGGCCCCAGCGCCGATCCGAGAAATCCGCGCGGACTTCCGAATTAAGTATGTTTATATGTCATTCTCCGTTCCCCGAGATTCGGAGGTGGACAAAACTCCCTTTAGTAAACCACCCTTTGGGAAAACGGCCTAGGACCGAAACCGACGGACCTGGACCCGCAAAAACGACGGCCGCGCCGCCCTCTCGCGAACCGAAAGCGGCCAATTCGCTAATCGACGCGTCTGGGTAGGAGGTCGATCGACCTCCGATATAGGAACAATGAAAGGCGACAACAACACCAACAGGGCGAGGAGATGCGAGGAGGCAGGGGGGAACTCCCTGGTGGTGTGGTCCCCCCCCTCTCGCTCGAGACTAGCCTCCGGCTCGGAGGGGCATCGTGGACCTCCTCGCTGGCGGTGGGCCCCCTGGTGGTGTTGGTATCGCTTCTCCTCCCTCCGACGATAGCTTCGGGCACCCCCCGAGGAACGCTCTCGGCGAATTGCAGTTGCCCGAAACCATCCCGCGAGGAGGCCCAGCCTCCAGGCCCCGGCGCGGGCCTCGGGCGGCCGTCCCCGACGGTCGGGGCCCCTCCGGAGCCCTCTCGGCGAGGGGCGCGGCTGCAGGGAAGCACCCCGAAGCTGAGGCCCTGGCGAGGATCGGGGTCCACCAAAAAGGCCGGAAGCTGGGCGGGGACTGGCAAACTCCGCGGCTGCCAAGACGGTCTCCCCGGAAGCAGAAATCCAACTCACGGAATCAAGCTCAGCGCACCAAACAGTAAACGGGCTGCTTCCCGGAAGAACAAAAGAAGAATTTCCCGGAGCTCTGTTTCAGCAGCCACGGGTTTGCCAGCCGTCGCCCAGCTTCTCAAACCCTGAAGGGTGGCACGAGTTCGATCCGCTGGTGCACCGAATTGCCTCAAACAGATGCCCCCCATGCCCCACCAATCGGCAACCATCGGGAGCTACCGGCGGCTGCGGGGCATCTGTTTTGAGCGGTTCGCTGCACAAGCCGACATCACACGCACCCTGGGGCACACCCCCGTTTTGCGGGATCCCGAGAGGAGGAAACATGAGGGGACCCTCCTGGTCCTCTTCGTCCTCCTCCTTTTCCTCCTCCTCCTCCTCCTCCTCCTCTTCCTCCTCCTCCTCGTCCTCTTCCTCCGCCTCGACCATCGGTCCTCCTCGATCCTCGATATTCCTCGATCCTGTTCGGCCGGAGGCCCAACGCCGATCCGCGAAACCCGCGCGGACCTCCGACAATTTCCGTGTATGCTGACTTTTGTTGTCCTAATCCTGGCGTCCCGGCCCCAACTCGAGCCTCAGGCGGCCGTTCGGGACGATCTGGGCCCCCCCGGAACGCTCTCGGCGAGGCGCAGCTGCACGAAAACACTCCGAGGCTGGAGAGCTTCCAAAGACCGACGAAACCGCCCGAAAGCCAAGGACCGACGAAACCGACGACCTCCCGTAGAGGCCTCCTAGATGGGGTCCGAATATATAGGGTAGGAAGGTCGCGCCGCATCGCCAGTGCATCGGCGACGTCGGCGACGCATCGGCGATGCTGGCGCGGAGAACATCGGGCTCCACATCGAGCCTCATCGCCGATGCATCGGCGCTGCGGCTAGGCGGCCACAAGTGAACCCCACGACTGCAGGACGAATCCCGCCAGGCCTGTGGGCGTAGGTGGTTTAGGGGGGGGTGCTACCCCCCTTCTTCCCTTACGGGGAAAGGTGTTTACCCCTCCCCCTAAACTCCCTCCCCTGGACCTGGTCGGGCGGCGCCGCGACCCATTGGAGCGTCCAAAATGGCCTCGGCGAGGAAGCCCAAATCATTGTTGTTTCTATGGTTTTAGCCCAAAGTTCCCTCTTGGGGGGGCAACGCTAAAATAGGCGCCCCTCTTCTTTGATCGATCTCCTCCTAGATGGCCCCAAGAGGCGCCCAGGAGGCCCCAAGAGGTCCCAAGATGGCCCCAAAATGTTTTTTGTTTTATTTTACTGGAGAGCGCGAAAGCGCAGGGGGTGAGGCGTCACCCCGCTCGACACTGTGCAATCGAGCGGGGGCGACGGGGCAGCCAATGCGCTGCCGACGCAGACGGTGCTGGGGCCAAGTGTGGCGTTGCAACCACAGCCGCAACAGCACCGAGAAAAGGTTGAGCCACGGTCGGGGCGGGCCTGCGTCCACCCCCGTGCTCGAGTACCCTGAGATCCCTCCAGCTCGACGGTGCCCCAAGGCTCGGGCACAAGGTTGGCTGCATAACCAGCACCGCCGAGAGGAGGGAGAAAGACGTGCGCGGCGCTCCTTCCCCCTGAGGCGGGGCGCCTGACACGCGTGCGGGGCAAATGCGCGCGCACACACACACACACACACACACACACACACACACACACACACACACACACACACACACACACACACACACACACACACACACACACACACACACCATGCACACCTCGACAAAAGGCGGTGCCCCAAGGCTCGGGTACTAGGGCAGGCTGCGTAACCTGCACCGCCAGTCAGGACGAGAAAACGCAAGGTGGCAGTGTAGCCACCAAAGAAAAGCCAATATCGACCGCCCACACAAGGACGACGAGACCTGCCGCCCCAGGTGCAACGAGCGCCAGGACGATGGCATGCCTCGCCCCAAATGTGGGGTATGCACACTGAAACCTGCCCGGGGGGTCAGTCCCATCGGGCCGTATACTTACTGAAACAAAAACACGGCGACGCCAGGACGACATCCAGGCAACCCCAGGTGTACCTAAGCCTGGTGGGCGGACGCCTGGACGGCCCCTGGTCTGCCCCTGGTGTGGGCCCGACTCGCCCCCTGAGCCAATGCCCCCATGGCGGGCCCTCCAGATACGGCCAAAGACCAACTGGGCGAAGCGATCAAGGACCCGCCGCCTTCCGCTCCAACGAAAGGGACACAGACTAGCAGGCAAACGAGACAGAGAAGGGAGAAGCCGCGGTCGGGGCTCCATTAACCCCCGCGCCTGACCCTATCATGACACCCTACATGAAACAAGCAATCTTGAGCCCCAGCGAGGGGGACAAAGAGCTGGCCAGCCTAAAGCAATCGTTTAGTAGAGAGAACCGTTCTGCACTGCTTTGCCATCTGCTGCGGAAGTTGGCCCAGGAGGAGGGCCGCCAGATTCTTGCGCCCACGGCGCGTGATCGGTCGACAAGGTTTGCCCAAGCCATCGGAACGGACCCGACATCGGCCATACAGTCCACACGCAGAGCAAAACACCGTGCCCTGGACCCCCGTCTGGAGTCAGTGAGTCTGATGAATGGACCGGCCGAACGAAAAAACCGTCGGCTCCACAAAGCGAGCAACAGCGCGGCACGGCGTATTCCGAACATCGGAGGCGAATTTCCTAGCCGTGCGTCCGCCACACAAGGAGCACTGCCAAAATGGGCGGTGAGGATTCGGGATCTTCTGCTGCGACTTACTCAGGGCGCGGCTGAACTTTAAAGTCCCACGAGCATGCTTAGAAAGTTTCGGACGTTCAACCTTGGGCCGCGGCGGAGGAGGGACACGGTGGGAGGCGCAATCAAGGAGGACCACCGCTAAATGTTTCCTGACCACCGCCGCGACCTTACCAACAAATTCCATCTGAGCACGCTGCGAGTATGGAAGCTGGGCTTCCTCAGCAAAAACCTCGGCCAACTCGTCCGCTCTTTGATTCGCAAAGAAATGAGAGAGCGGGATCGAGCGCTCCTGGGCTTCGTCGACCGAAAGGTGGGACTCAACCTTGAAGGGCCGCGCAACTGACCCAGGAATGTCTCTGATCACCGCGCGGAGCTCTAACCAATCGGTAAGCCGCGGAGGACATAGACGCTATCGGTGATAAAATGACGTTCGACTTCAATCGGAATGGGCCACGCGGCCCTCAGAAAAGGTTCCGAAAGCTCGGGGCTCTCCTCTGTTCACAGATTCTTTTAATTCCAGAGGCCCACCCCAGGATTTGATCTCAGACAATCTGCTCGCCTGGAGGTGGCTTCCATCCTGGAAAATAATGGTGGACCAACCAATGCGCCTAAGTCTAGGGCCGGCTGACTGGGACCCCTGCTGGCGTCGCCAGCTCCAAACACCACACCACAGGGAAACTCCAACTCCGAGGGCGAGAGGCCGAGGTCGAGAGGCGGGGGCGAATCAGTGGGGGGGGGCCCACTTCAACCCAAGATCCTGGCACCAGGCCTCGGTGCCAGAAACAGGGCAGCTCTTCACAGTCCAGCTGCGCTCGTTCCACGACAGCAGCTGGAGCTATAGCTATGCCCTCCAAAACATTATTACACGGGCACTCCCAGTGGGCATGTCTCGGGGTCTCTGGGACCTCTGTGCAACGGGGGCACAATGGGTCCACCTCGGGAAAGCAATCGTGAACCCGCTGAGCTGGCCACGAATTGCCAGTCGCGAAGGCTTGGTGGCCTCCGAACAGTGCATGCTCTCCCTTTCGCTTGAGGCTCCTCAGAAAAACGCGGAAGGGGCCAAATGTCAAGGATTCCTCGCTCGACACCAAGTCCCAGATATTCCTCCGAAGCAGCAGTCCACAAGGACCGCTGAATAGAAAGAGAAAGCCCTGCTTCAAATCAGAAAAATCCTGCACCCCAACCTTGTGATTTTCAGGCGGGGCGTAAAACTCGATACCGTCGGGGCTCACCCACCTCCAAGGGCCTAGGGGCTCCCAAGAGTACCTCAGAAGCAAGCAGACCGTGGCCGAGCAAACTCCCCAGATATAGTGAGCGCTGCGGTCGGGCCAAAAGGTCCGCTACAACCCTGGCCCAGGTCGTCTCGATCAGCTGCCTGTCGATGTCGGAAGTGGCCAGGAAGAGCGCCCACGAGTTGATCACGTCCATGGCCGTAGTGATCGCAGGATCCGAGTGGCCCATGTCCAACTGGAGCTGGGTGGTCAGCGAGCGTTGGCTGGAGCCCTTGCGTAGGATGCGTCCCAGAGCTCGGCGCCACTGAAGTAGAACCGATGGAGGAGTGCCGTACATCTTCCCAGCGTAGGAAACACACGGCATGGCGGCATCGACTGCGAGATGTAATCCTATCCTTCGATGCGCCAGAGTACCCCAGGCCAGGTTACCAATCTTGTGAAATCTGAAGCGAGCCTTCTCGTTTCGCCTCTTATGCTTGCTTGACCACGTCGTATGTTGCCTCGGCCAAAGCCCACGTCCACAACTCGATCTTTGCACGGTATTGTAAGCCCCAACTGCTTCAAGTTGGCCTCCAGGGCAACCCCAGCCAAGACAGATGAGCTGAGGATGTTCCCAAGAGGCCCCCGAGAGGCCCCAGGTCCCCAAGAGAACCCCAAGGGCGAAAAGTGGTGGGGATAAGTTTTGGTCAACAGGCTCGCGAGGCGGGTCGAAAGCCGTCCGAACACCAGACGGGCCGCGACTAGGCAGCAGGAAAAGAAAGGCAAGCGAAGCGAGCGAGCGGGCAGCCACTCAGCAATTGGTGGAGATAAGCGGAGCGTCTAGAATTTCTGAAACGCCGGCTAAGGTTCCGAATTCGGACGATGTCTGCGGCCAAATGGACCCCATCGGGGGTGTCCGAGTTCCCAGCTTTGGACTCGCCAGGGTAGGGCTCGCAATTGGTCGAAGAGCGGCGTGATCCTCCGATCCCATCTTCGGGGAACAGGCAACTACATAAACGTCAACTTTCGGAAGCCCGCGAGGATTTCTCGGATCGGCGCTTGACCCTCCTCCCTGGCGCGCGGAGCGCGCCAAATGTTGGTGGGCCCTGGAAACGACAGGGCCGTTTTTAGTACCGCCTCCGTTATGCCTTTTTTGCTAGTTACAACGCAGTTGTTTGTCGGTTTCGTCGCCGTTGTTTTCCCCGTTTCAGCTTCAATTCCAATCCCGGAGCCGTTTTTGGTGCCGCTTTTAATCGCCGTTGTTTTGCCGTTTCCGCTTTCAAGAAACACTTTTTTCGGAAACGGTGACGAACGGCCATGCCATTCCCGGGGCCCACTAAGCGCCAGGTGGCCGCAGCGTCGATCCGAGAATTTCGCGCGCACCTCTGAAAAACTAAGGTTCTATCATTGCTTGATTCCCTTCATCTACTCGGACCCCATCTGGGCGAAGACAAGACCCAGGTCTTGCGCGAAAGGCGTACCGACCGTACGCGGCGGCTTACGCGGGCCGGCAACGCGGCACGCCACATTGGAAACAAGGGCGCTTACGCGCGACCAGACGTGGGCAACTCAGGCGTACATGTCGGCGAAGGCGAACCCGTCTTCCCTTTTCGCTCATCTGGAAGGAGAGGGTCAACGATAGGGGGGGGACTGGCAAAGGGGGGGACACATCGACCTGGAATCGGCGCTGCATCTCCGACGGATCGGCGATGGGTCCCCCTACAGCGAATCCGCACATTCCTAGGCAGGGTGGTGCTATCGGGCCCGTATCGGCGATGAATGGGCGATAGGGTGCCGATGTGTTCCCCCCTATGCCCATTTCCCCCCCTGTCGTTGCCGCTGAGGCGGCCGAGACTCCGAGTGCCTACGAGCGCGGATCTGAAAAGTCGCCCTTGGCCCTCGCCATCGCTCGGACGTCCATTCCATGCGTATATGTCGGCTGTGTGCGCTCATGCTTCGCGAGATGATCCAGGACTTGCCCTCGCTGGGACGTGCATCCCCTGTGCATTCTCGTCGGTCTCGTGCGTGCCTTTCTTGCCGAATGACCCAGGATGCTCCTCGATGGCCCTCGCCGAAGAACGAAAACAAACCGCCCGAGCGATGCCGAGAAGATCCACCGAAGATGGCCCTCGCCGACACGCGAATGCACACGTCCGAGCGACGCCGAGCGGCCGCGGCGGGCCGCGGCCCGCTCTTCGGCATGCCCTGCGCGGGAGGCGCCGACCGGGCGAGCCGCGGGCGGCCCGCGGGCGGGGGGGGGCTCCTTCCAGCCATCCTGCCGCGCCCGCTCCTGTCGGGCGGCGGCGCGGCTTTCTGGTGCCCGCTCCAGGGGGAGGAGCAGGAGGAGGAGGAGGAGGAGGCAGAGGAGGAGGAGGAGGAGGAGGAGGAGGCAGAGGAGGAGGAGGCAGAGGAGGAGGAGGAGGAGGAGGAGGAGGAGGAGGAGGAGGAGGAGCAGTCCGTAGCCATTCTTGGCTCAAGGCAGCTGTATAGCTTCCAGGCACGGCACCGATTGTACAATCTCGAGTTACTTCTGTGGCTTCATGTCTTCGCCGCTCTCGCCCCACCTGCTCCTGTACGATCTCCGCGACAGGCTGCTTCGAGGCTTATCAAGTTCCAAGGCCTGGCAGTCGCGGCTCGGAACAGTGAGCGGCTTTCATCAGCCACCAAGAACAAGCTCGTACGCCTCGACTACGCGTACAACATCGTTCGCCACATAAGCCGTGTGGGCATCGACGAATATTTAGAGGACGTGCTGCGCGAGGTCACGGGCTCCAAGAGCAAGCGCACGGGCCAGACTGTGTACCAATCTGCCGACAGCGCCGCTGCAGGCGATCGTGCCACATCTTCCTTTGGCTTTCATTCAGGTTCCCTCGAGTTCGTCCCTGGACAAACAGCTTTCGGCAAGGGCATGAGCTGCTCGGAGCCCGCTCCAATTGTTCTGGACATCCCGAAGATGCTCACCTGCGCCCGCGAGGCATACGATGAGCAGCTGGGAGTTTACCAGAGTTTAGTCGAAGCACAAAATGGCACGATCGCACGTATTCAGGGCTTCCTGGAGAGCTGCCACAATCAACGCATAGAATGTGTTCCGCGGAATGGAGACGGAGCTCGCCGCAGTTCTGGCCGTGTGGATGTCCACGATGCGGAGGACGACAAAGAGCAGCGCTGCGAGACCAGCGAGGAGCTGGGCAAGTCCAGCGCTGGGCACACCTCGTCATCGCCCGCGCCGCCCCCGAGTGCACGCCATCCCCGTCGAAACCAAGGGAGTCTCCGAGGATTTCCCGTGGAGGGACTTCATGTTCGGAAAGGACAATGTGAATGTCACCTGTGTGCAGCAGGCGACGGGCGTAATGGTGCGACTCAACGGCTCGTGCAACGACGACGGCGACGACGGCCTCATGCTGCCCCTCACTGCGTCGTACGAGGTCGAAGATCAGGACTTCAAGTATGCAATTATGATGTGCGAGGACCTCCCAGAGTACGTCTACGGCGAAGCCGCCGACTGGTCCGAGCATGAAGGCGAGATCACGGACACAGAGGACGACGACACCCCTGCAGGGCGAGGGGGTAGGCCCTACTCCGGAGGGCGCGGCCACCCCGGCAGGGCGAGGGGGTAGGCCCAAGGACGTCGCGCTCGCCTTCGGCACATTCGGCTGGAGGCTCGCAGATGCCACCCCTGCAGGGCGAGGGGGTAGGCCCAGGCCGCGGCCCCCCCCCGCGTGGCGAGGGGTTAGGCCACAGTTCGACATCGACGACGTGGCCGACTACGACGTCCCGTCGACCCCCTCTGAAGGGGCCATCCTCCACCTCTACCTGCTCGAGGCGGGTGGGTGGGATCGGATCAGAGGAAGGCAGCATGGAGGACCTCCCCCCCTCAGCGGTCACGCCAGCCGAGGAGGAGGAGGAGGAGGAGGAGGAGGAGGAGGAGGAGATGGGAGGAGGGAGGAGGGAGGAGGGAGGGAGGGAGGGAGGGAGGGAGGGAGGGAGGGAGGGAGGGAGGAGGGAGGAGGGAGGGAGGGTGGGCTCCTCCTCCTTTCGAGCCGAAAGGCTCGAAAGGAGGAGGAGGAGCCCACGTGGCTTTTGGGTGCCCGGCGTGGGCGCCCGCCTTGGGCCGGGCGTGGGGCGCGTCTGGGGCCCGATTGTGTGGACCAGGCGTCGGCGGGGCCACCGGGCCGGAGGTGGGCCCGGCGTGGGCCGGCGCTGGCGTCCGCTCCAGGGAAGCCCGCGTGGCTCCAGTGCCTGATTGAAGGGGCCCCAGGACACACAAATAAATACACACAAATAAAAAGATTCCCCATATTTTCCAATATTTTCTGGGTTTCTGTCTTCCCCCCCACTTCCCATATTTTCCCATATTTTCCTGGGAATCGAGGATTAATTGTGTCTGTGTGTTTCTTTTCCTCCTGACTGATGTGGGCCCGCTTTGGGCCAAGGTGTGGGGCAGACGCGGGGCCGGACTGGGGCCGGATGCGGCCCAGTACGAGGGAGCAGAGAAGAACGAGGGGGGGAGGAGGCGCAGCAGGGGCGAGGAGGAGCACGAGGAAGGGCCACATGCACGGCGGTACAACCCCCGACCTCCACGTCGACACTAAAAAGATGTTGGACGGTTCCTTCGGTTCCCAGAGGTCCAGCGTATCGAAGAAAACGAAACGAAAGCTTCTCGCCGTGTTGGGCCTCGAGAGGCCCTCGCCAAACCCAGGACTGTAAAGACCCGACTCAGGATGGAACGCCGGTCTCGGAGAATGGGTCGAGACACTTCCAGGGACCCCGTATGAAAGAAAACCGAAACATGGGACCTCTGGGTTCCTTGTCACATGTCATCCTCCTGCCTTCGGACAGCAAACTGCGGAGTGGTGAGAACAACTACGACACATACTACGGCACGGATGGCAACATGTGTATCCGAATATCCTTAGGAAGAAGGTCACTACAAGGTGGCGAGCAGTGACGGGGCCAATGCCTCCTCATCGACGCACAATGTTTTCGAGCGCTTCCGTCGGTTCCTCCTCCTCCTCCTCCTCCACCTGCTCCTCGCATCGCATCGCATTGAAAGGTGAAAACACCTGTGGATGCACAGCCTGTCCTGGGGAACTGGAGAAAAGGAGCGGCGCAGGCAGAGTGCAGCTGTGCCATCAGGGGTCCCCGTCCACCACCCTCGGGGGCGGCCTAGAGGGAGGGGCGCAAATCATGACAGGCGGCATGTGCGCGGCCCAGGGGGGGGGGGAGCCGGGGACGTATTGAAATAAGAAGAGGCACCATGAGATCTGGGGAAATATCATGCCCCCCACCATGATACCCCCCCCCCCTAGTCATCACCCCCCTCTTGGCTGACTACCTACCAGACCACACCAACCCAACCCGAAGACCCGAATTTCGGGTTGGGGGGGGTATGGGCTCCATATGTGTTTTTTCGATGTTCCCGGACCCCCCCCCCACTGGAAATGGAGGGCAAATTGAGGCCTTCGGGTTGGGTTGGTGTGGTTTGGTGGGTGGTGATTGGCCGCCCCCGACACCCAAACCCACTGAGCAGCAAGAAGTGAGGGCGGCCGGGCCCTCAGGTCAGCTACGGATCCAGAGGTGTCCAGGGTCCCCCTCGTCCTCCCCCTGCCCTCAGACACCAGGCTCGGAAGCCAGGCAAGGGCTGCTAAATCCGTGGCTGCTAAGATCGGCCTCCGGGAAGTTGTCTTCGTCCTTCTGGGAAGAGGCCCGTTGACTGTTTCGCGTGCCGCGCCTCATTCTGGGAAGTTGTTTTTTCCTTCCGGGAGGGCCGTTTTAGCAGCCACGGTGTTATATAGCAGCCCTCGCCCAACTTCCCACAGGCTATGGAAAAAATCACGATGTGGAAAAGACACGGGGCACTACGACCGGATGGCAACATATGTACCACATGTGACTTGGGAATACGGCTAATGCGAGATGGCGGCCCTAGAGGCCTCCTGAAAGGGGTCCGAGTAGATCGGGTCGGAGGATCGTGCCGTATCGCCAATGCATCGGCGACGTGGGCGACGCATCGGCGACGTCCGCGTGGAGAAAAATCGGGCTCCGCATCCAGACACATCGCCGATGCATCAGCGATGCGGCGCGATCCTCCATCTAATCCGACCCTCTAGTAGGCCCAGAAGTCCTCAGCGGAAAATCACGACGGCACGGTTTGTTTAGAGTCTTTGGCCCCAAAGGGCCCCCACCAGGTCATGGGAGAGTCAAATCAGTGCCCCGAGTGTGAGCTCCTGGGAAGGCGCCCTGACCTCTGGGAAGCCAAGCTGCGAACGAAATCGCGACCGAAAATGTCCGAGGAGCAGGATGAGGAGGACCAGAGTACAGTGAAAACATCTATCAGGGACGGGTGGCAAGGACGCAAGACCCTTGGAGGCTGAAGTTGAGACATGGTTGGGCGGCGGGCGTCCAAAACCCAATTGGAAACGGCGAAAGACGGGCCGCAGAGGCAAGGACAAAAGGGCACCCTAGAAAAGGCGCGCGTCCTTACAGTGCGCGTTGAATGTAAACTTAGGTCGGGCATGTCCTCCTACATAGTTGCAAAATCGTCCCCAGACTATGTTTTGACTATTTTGGAATCTTCCGCCTGTAGAGGGACGTGCCCGACTGCCACATAAACCCAAGAGGCAGCCTCGACGAAGCTGGGCGAAGGCTGGCAAATCCGTGGCTGCTAAAACGGTCACAACTTCCCAAGATAGAGCTCAGCGCACTGAATGGCAAACGGGCTGTTTCCCGGAAGGGAGAATATCGCCCGGAGCTCCGTTTTAGCAACCACGGGTTTGCCAGCCTTCGCCCAGCTTCTGATGGTGTTTCCACGAAAGGGCGGAGTGCCTCGTCTTGCAGCATCCGCTGCGCTCCGTCAGGCCAGCTGCGAGACATGCAACAAGTTAGACGTGGTCACAGAATCCATTCGGGGGCAAACAGAACCCCCGCTAGTAAAACGTGGTCTAGTGAAAACGATCTCGGGCCCAAACTTGGTGGGCGCAAGATTGGAAAATGACGGCCGCGGCGCCCTCTCGAGAACCGAAAACGGACAATTCAATAATCGACGTGTCATGTTGGGGGTTCTGTCCACCCCCCATCAATAGAGGCCTCCTGGATGGTGTCCGAATAGATGGGGACGGAAAATCGCGCCGCATCGCCGATGCATACATCGACCGATACATCGGCGACGTCGGCGATGCGTCAGCGACATCGGCGTGAAGAAAATCGGACCCCACATCGAGCCGCAAGGCCGATGCATCGGCGATGCGGCGCGATCCTCCGACCCCATCTACTCCGACCCCACCTACTCCGACCCCATATAATTAAAGGAACTGTCCGGGAAACGTCGAATATCTGAGGACGAGGAGGAGGAAGAGGAGGAAGAGGAGGAAGAGGAGGAGGAGGAGGAGGAGGAACATGTCCTTCTCGTCCGCGTTGCGGGACGGGCCCATGAGTGAGTCGAGCAGTTTCCGGGCGTCATCCATGGCCACAGGGCCGCGGGAAGGGGAAGAAGGGATGGGGAGGAAGAAATGTAAGGAGGGAGGGGGGGAAGGGGAGAAGGAGGTGGGGTGAAAGGGGGGGAATGGATGAGCGGGGGGAAGGGGGGGGGCAGGGGGCAAGCCGAGAGGACGAAGGGGCAACCCTGGAAACTCCGGAGAGGCGCTGGGGAAACCTAGAACACAGGCCAGGAGGTCCGAAAGGGAAGGTGGGGCGGTAGCACGAGGCAGTACAAGATGAGCTCAGGAAGATCCTGGCGTGATCTCTGGGCATATCCTGGCCAGCTTCTGGGCTGGCCTGGCTCGTCCATCCGTTCCTCCCCAGCTCGCCCCATTCCCTGAGGGCGGGCGTGTGTGGGCAGAGGAGGGAAGGGATGGGGCGAGCAGTGACCAGGGAGCTCTCCTCCTCCTCCTCCTCCTCCTCCTCCTCCTCCTCCTCCTCCTCCTCCTCCTCCTCCTCCTGCTCCTCCTCATCTCTTTCCTCCTCCCCCTCCCCCTCCTCCTCCTCCTCCTCCTCCTCCTCCTCCTCCTTCTCCTCCTCCTCCTCATATATTTCCTCCTCCTCCTCCTCCTCCGCCTCCGCCGCCTCCTCCTCCGCCTCCTCCTCCTCCTCCCCGCCCTCATGAAAGATCGAGAGCTTCTGGGATCGAGGGTCGAGGACGTCGGGATGATCGACGCAGGCCCCTAGGGATCCCCATCGCCTGTCTGGACCTCTTGGAGAAGGAGGAGGGCGAAGGGGGAAATGGAAAACAGTGGACGTCAGGGAAGATCAGGAGGAGGATGAGGAGGATGAGGAGGAGGATTTTTTCCACAGCGCGCGGCAGCCCACTCCGTGTCGCGCACGGCCGACGGCGCGGCCACGGCGCCCCGCCCACGCGGGCGACGGGCGAGACCGCCCGCGCGCGACGGGGAAAAGGCCCCGCCCCACGGGCAGGCGGGAGGCCCCAACCGAACGGAGCCGCCCCCACGGGGGAGGCCGAAACGGAAGGGCCACCCGCACGCCCAAGGGGCAGGGCAAAAAAGGACCCGGACCCCGGGACCCGCAAAACGACGACGACGACGACGACGACGACAAGGACAAGGACACGACACGACGGGGAGAAGGACCGCCAGTCCCGCCCCAAGGCGGCGAGTGCGGGGAGTGAACTCCCGCACCGCCCTGGGGGAGGCCACGGGACCTGGCAGCCCCCCGGGAAGGAACGCCGGGCGCGGGGGCTTGGACCCCGAAGGCCCAGTGCTCCCCGCTTGCACCACGGGGCACTTTGGCCCGACACCCCGCTTATGGGGGTGCACCTCTGGGGCAGGATGAGGATGAGGAGGAGGAGGAGGAGGAGGAGGAGGAGGAGGAGGAGGAGGAGGAGGAGGAGGAGGATGATGAGGAGGAGGAGGAGGAGGGGGGCGATGTGGCCAGGGGGGGGGGGCAAGCGAGAATCAGAGTGAAGCAGGCCATCGAGTGCTTGACGCTCTCGGGGACCAGGGGCGTTCCGTGCGCCCTCGGAACGTCCAGAGAACACCTGGGACGGAGACCTGGTCCTGGGCGAAGCGTGAGGGACCTGGATACGTTCCCATCAGGACCCCACTCCTGTTTTGCCAGAGGTGCAAGGAAGAGGAGGAGAGAGGGAAGATTACGGTCAAGGTCCGATATATAGCGTGTCAGTGGTTTCGGGCCTTGCGAAACCGAAGGCGTTTACACGCTAAGCAGCGCAGGGGCGTACACGCTAAGTAGGGTCGGGTGGAAGAGCCAAACGACATACACGCTAAGCGCTCCGAGACGCTAAGCGCTCCAAGACGCTAAGCGCTCATATACACGCTAAGCGCTCCAGCCCGAGGTGATCTACGTAGGGGGCTTTCTCTTCCAACCCTCTTCTTCCCTTTCGGTGAGGGGTTTACGCACGCACCCCTCCCCCTACGTACGTACCCCCATCCCCCTGGACCTGGACGGGGAGATTTGCGACCGATTGGAGATGGCCCAAAACGGCTCCAAGAGGGTCCTGGAGAGCCCTGGAGAGCCCAAGATGGCCTCCAAGACGACCCGAAGTTATTAATCCAAGATGGCTCAAGATGGCTTCCAAGATGCTCCAGACCGCTCCAAGACGATTCCAGGTGGGCTTGGGGCCTCCCTTGGACGCGCCCAAGACGCCCAAATCCCTCAAACACCTGGTAAGGTAAATCAATGATTCTACGTAGCCCTTTCGACTTTTCGCGTCCGATGACCTTCCGAAGCCGTAAGTACGCAAGATGGCCCCAGGGGGCCCAAGAGAGCCCCAAGAGGGGTCCAAGATGGCCCCAAGATGGACCCGAGAGCGTCCAAGAGCGCCCCAAGAGCGCCCCAACATGACCCCAAGAGGCGATTTTGAGAGCTCCAGAGGGGCGAGGGTACTTGCGGACCCCCCCATTCTTTGATAGATATCCTCCAAGATGGTCCCAAGAGGGCCTCCAAGGCCCCAAAGAAAGCCCCAACAGGCGCCCAAGAAACCCCAAGAGGCCTCCAAGAGACCCCCAAGAGGACCCCAAGCGGCCCCAAGAGACCCCCCGAGGCACCCAAGATGCCCCAAGAGCCCCCCGGGACCACCAAGAGACTCCCAAGACGTCCCAAAAGGCCTCCAAGAAACGCCCAAGAGATACGTACGTATCCCAAGAGACTCCGAGACTCCGAGGAAGAGGAGGAGGGGGAGAGAGAAGTGTGAAAAACGGGGGAAGCGCTCCAGCCCGAGGTGATCTACGTAGGGGGCTTTCTCTTCCAACCCTCTTTTTCCCTTTCGGTGAGGGGTTTACGCACGCACCCCTCCCCCTACGTACGTACCCCCATCCCCCTGGACCTGGACGGGGAGATTTGCGACCGATTGGAGATGGCCCAAAACGGCTCCAAGAGGGTCCTGGAGAGCCCTGGAGAGCCCAAGATGGCCTCCAAGATGACCCGAAGTTATTAATCCAAGATGGCTCAAGATGGCTTCCAAGATGCTCCAGACCGCTCCAAGACGATTCCATGTGGGCTTGGGGCCTCCCTTGGACGCGCCCAAGACGCCCAAATCCCCTAGCCCTTTCGACTTTTCGCGTCCGATGACCTTCCGAAGCCGTACGTACGTACGTAAGATGGCCCCAGAGGGCCCAAGAGAGCCCCAAGAGGGGTCCAAGATGGCCCCAAGATGGACCCGAGGGCGTCCAAGAGCGCCCCAAGAGCGCCCCAACAGGACCCCAAGAGGCGATTTTGAGAGCTCCAGAGGGGCTAGGGTACTTGCGGACCCCCCCATACTTTGATAGATATCCTCCAAGATGGTCCCAAGAGGGCCTCCAAGGCCCCCAAGAAAGCCCCAACAGGCGCTCAAGAACCCCCAAGAGGCCTCCAAGAGGCCCCCAAGAGGACCCCAGCGGCCCCAAGAGGCCCCCCGAGGCACCCAAGATGCCCCAAGAGTCCCCCAGGACCACCAAGAGATTCCCAAGACGTTCCAAAAGGCCTCCAAGAAACGCCCAAAAGATACGTACCGTACGTATCCCAAGAGACTCCGAGACTCCGAGAGGCATCCAAGAGACTTCTGGCCCTTTTGATCGCCCTCCTCCTCCTCCTCCTCCTCCTCCTCCTCCTCCTCCCTCCTCCTTCTCCTCCTCCTTCTTCTCCTCCACATCCTATTCATAATCCTTCTCCCCACTCCCTCATCCATCCATCCATCCATCCAGCCTCATCTTTCTCCTCCTCCTCCTCCTTCGCACGGTTCGGTTTGCTCCATGTTTGTTCCTACGTACGAACACGTCCCTGGTCACATCAACTCGCCTGGGCGTCGTTTCTGGATGGGATGGTGGGGATGCGCGAAGCGTCAAGAATTAGACATTGTGAGTTGGTGTGCAAGTGAGCAGGGTACAGGAAGAGGGACGGACGCGCAGCGGAAGGGGTGAACTGGCGGGATTGGTGAAGAGGGACATCATATTTTGCGAGAAAAGGAAATGGAAGGGAAATTATAGGAAGGTGACGAGCGGCACTCGAGATACACGCTAGTGTTAGTAGCGCCTGGCAGCGGGCTCACACACACACACACACACGCACAATCGCTAAAAGCTCCGGGTCAGCACAACGCGCCTAACGGCCTCAATGCCGAGCGCAAGACGCCAGGAGATCGACCATTCGGGATCCTCGTTAAAACATTCAGTGCAGCGTACTACAGTGGGGGCTCGGCCACAAGAAACCTGCCACGAGAAACCCAACCCTGAACCCCCAGGACGCCCATCGAGCTTTCGCATGGGAACGCCACGCTTTCCATCGTGGAACCATCGCAATCCAAGAATCCCGGGGCACCCTGGAGGGAAACTCCTGCGGGTACAAGTCCTGCGGGGCCTGGGGGACCGTGGGACTAGTTGTCTGTCCCTCTGGGACCTGCGAGACTAGTGGGGCCTGAGCGACCTGTGTGGGCCTTGGAGGAACTCTACGACAATTGCGGCATGCGGAACTTGTGGGACCTGTGGGCCATGCGAGACCTGCGAGACCTCCGACACCTGTGCGACATGTGGGGCGTGTGGGACCTGTGGGAGGGACCTGTGGGACCTGCGAGACCTGCGACACATGTGGGACCTGGGGGGGGGGGGGCCTACCTGCACTTAGCGTGTCTGGGGATCCACGGCGCGCCGCGCGCGCCATCCGGGTCCTGGGAGACTGCTGGACTAGTGGTCTCTCTGGTTCCTGTGGGACCTGTGTGGCGAGTGGGACCTGTAGGACCTTTGGGGCCTGGGGGACCTGTGGGACTTGTGGGGCCTGTGGGACTAGTGGGACTTGTGGGGCCTGCGAATATTTCGACACCTGTGCCACCAGTGGGCCCTGTGGGGCCCCTGGGATCTGTGCGATCTTCAAGGCCTGCGACACCTGTGGGAACTCGGAGACCTATCTGCACTTAACCGTGTCTGGAGATCCCTGGCGCGCCGAGCGCGCCGTCCGCTGGACACGCGGACCCTGCAGGACCCCTGGAGCCTGGGGGATTGTCGGACTAGAAAGTCATCGAGGACCAGTGGGACCTGTGGAACCTTTGGGGCTACTGGGGCCTGCGCGACCTG